AAAAGGGGGGGGTAAAAAGGGGGGGTTGGGGGGGGGGGGGGGGGGGGGGGGTTTTTTGGGGGGGGGGGGCCCCGGGAAGGGTGTGGGGGGGGGGGGGGGGGGGTTTGGGGGGGGGGGGGGTTTTTGGGGGGGGGGGGGGGGGGGGTGTTTTTTTTTGGGAAAAAGGGGGTGTTGGGTTTGGGAGGGGGGGGGGTTTGGGGGGGGAGGGGGAGGGGGGGGGGGGGACGTGGTCCAGTAATGGCCCCTCGAATTAACCCACCCAAATGAAAAGTCATGAAGATTGGGGGGGGAAAAGAAGCGCAGACAAAAATTTTGGTGGGGTGGACAAAGACTACGACCTCCTCAGGGAGAAGCCCTTGGGGTGCCCTAACCCCGAGTACATCACCGGAGGCACACATCAACCAAAAAAACCGCTGCAGTACGGGCGCCTGGAAAACCTGAGAATAGCGTTCGATACCCAAAAGGAATCGTTCAAGACACTGTACCACTGGTAGTTGGCCCATATGGGTATGCAGCCCCATTTGGGAAAACCCACCCCTGGTCAAGCACGCAAAAAGTTAGAGAAAGTAAAAAGGTTTGAAACAAGGCGCCCAGGTAAAGGGAATGTCGTACGGGGAAAAGGTTAAGGGAAATCGGATGACGACCTGGGGACAGAAGGGCAGGGGGGAAAATGTAACGACATACAAGATACTGCGGGGAAAGACAAGGTGGACAGAGATGGATGTTCCAGAGAGGGGGCACAGGGACAAGGGTCACAACTGGGGGGAAGGGGCTCAGACGAGTCACAGGGAGGTTAAAAAATTTCTTCAGTCATAGAGTTGTCGCAAGTGGAATAGCCTAGAAATGAAATGTGGGGGAGGGAACCCTACATAGTTTTAAAAAGAGGTATGACAAAACCAGGAAAAAAGAGAGAGAGAGGATCCGTAGCGATCAGTGAAGAGGGGGGGCCCCGGGGTGAGTCTCGACCCTGCCCAAACCCAAATGGTGAGTACCCAATTTGGTGATAACAAACCGACACACAGCCACAGAGTAGCAGGAAGGGAATAGTCTGGGGAAACGATGTGTGGAGGCAGGTCCATACATAGCTTTAAGCGAGGTATGATAAAGCTCACGGTTCAGGGAATGACCCGTAGCGACCAATGAAGAGCGGGGAGGGCTTGGGGTTTTATTCCCGCAACCTCAACTAGGTGAGTAAAATAGGTGAGTACACACACACACACACACCCCCCAAAAACACCACACACACACCACACACCCCACACAAAACACAAAAACACACACCCCACACACCCCCCACACCCACACCACACTTGTTTGCAGAGCATTTTTGGGCAAATTTTGTCAGTTTTGTCCCAGGATGCGACCCACACCAGCGACTAATACCAGGTCCGTTTTAGCTAGATGAAAAAGGCAGTGTTGGGCCCCCTGCTGTTCACAAATTTCATAACGACATAGATGAGGGCATAAAAAGCGACTCGGCAAGTTTGCCGATGAACAAAATAGGCCGTCGAATTATTCTGAGGGACATTGAGACTCCAGGGGATTTGAATGACTGATGCAGTGGTGGAGAAGTGGAAAAGCAGTTTAATATGACAAATGCAAAGTTCTAATGTTGGACAGGACAATAACCATGCCACATATAAATAAATAAGTAGATCTTAAAAATACGGATTGCGAAAAAAAAATTTAGGAGTTCTGGTTAGCAGTAATCTGAAACCAAGACAACAGTGCATAAGTGTTCGCAATAAAGCTAATAGAATCCTTGGCTTCATATCAAGAAGCATAAATAATAGGAGTCCTCAGGTTGTTCTTCAACTCTATACATCCTTGGTTAGGCCTCATTTAGATTATGCTGCACAGTTTTGGTCACCGTATTACAGAATGGATATAAATTCTCTGGAAAATGTACAAAGGAGGATGACAAAGATGATCCCATGTATCAGAAACCTTCCCTATGAGGATAGACTAAGGGCCCTGAAACTGCACTCTCTAGAAAGACGTAGAATTAGGGGGATATGATTGAGGTTTATAAGTGGAAGACAGGAATAAATAAAGGGGATGTAAATAGTGTGCTGAAAATGTCTAGCCTAGACAGGACTCGCAGCAATGGTTTTAAGTTGGAAAAATTCAGATTCAGGAGGGATATAGGAAAGTACTGGTTTGGTAATAGAGTTGTGGATGAGTGGAACAAACTCCCAAGTACCGTTATAGAGGCCAGAACGTTGTGTAGCTTTAAAAATAGGTTGGATAAATACATGAGTAGATGTGGGTGGGTGTGAGTTGGACCTGATAGCTTGTGCTAACAGGTCGGTTGCCGTGTTCCTCCCTTAAGTCAATGTGACCTGACCTGACTAGGTTGGGTGCATTGGCTTAAGCCGGTAGGGACTTGGACCTGCCTCGCATGGGCCAGTAGGCCTTCTGCAGTGTTCCTTCGTTCTTATGTTCTTATGTTCTTATGTGTCTTAAGGAAACACGCCCTAATATTTCCAGCCATACCGGCAATCGACCCCCGGACCTTATTGTGTTAGCTGAGTGCTCTTGTGATCGTGATACGAGGAAAGTGAAGGGCGGAAACAGCCACAGTGCATAGAGAGCTAATTATTGGCCTGCGGTTGCGCACTAACGAAGCTGACATTTCTCACCTAAATCACGACTACCAGAGTCTGTATGAACTACCAGCACCTGTGTCAAAATTACCAGCGTCTGTATCAGAACTATACCGTCTGTATCACAACTACCAGCATCACTGTCACAACTACCAGCATCTCTATCATCACTACCAGCGTCTGTATCACAACTACCAGCGTCGATATCACAACTACTCGCACCTACAGCCCTCCCCCCCAAAAAAAATTACAGACAAACAAAACAGCAAGACGCTACAGAAACCTAAACACTTAATGTTTGAAAGACTTAAAGATTTAAGGTGATACATGCATGAATGGACCGACATCAATATTGCATCAGGAAAGTGTCAATCCATAAGTGCAATTTTCAATCCTGAGAAGAATTTTTGAAGGAAAGAAAACGTGTCACTCTGTGTAGAGCTTTATCAGGTTTGATAAAGCTCTCTACAGCGAGACGTGACCTCACATCAGGTCACACCACCCATGAGGACGTGAGCCCGTGACTCGTTGAATCGTAATAACACGATTGTAAACAAATGTTGGAATGGGCAGATCTGAACCTTTTGGAGCCAGTCCTGAGAAGGTTATGTTAAGTAAAAGGACACAAATGCAACTAATGTGACATTTTATTGTGACAACGTTTCGCTCTCCAGGAGCTTTGTCAAGCCGGCTTGATAAAGCTCCTGGAGAGCGAAACGTTGCCGCAATAAAATGTCACATTAGTTGCAATTGCGTCCTTTTACTTAACATATTGTCGATAATTCTACTAATATTAATACAATCTGAGGAGGTTAGTATGGGCCTTACCTAGAGCCCTTTGCTAGTTTATTAATCTGTGATTAGTGGTTAGAGCATTAACCTACTAGATGAAGTAGAATAGCTTCATAAATATAATTAAACGGAATGTTCTTAGCACTGAGTCCCCTCATGGAAGGTTCCTTGATGTTGGTGAGGGGCTCTTGATTTACGGAATTGGATCTGTGCTCCAGTTCCCCGAATTAAGCCTGAATGCCTTCCACATCCCCCCCCCAGGCGCTGTATAATCCTCCGGGTTTAGCGCTTCCCCCTTGATTATAATAATAATAATAATAATAATAATTAGCACTGAGTTAAAGAACGAAAAAAAATTGGGAAAACATTTAATACAAAGTAGTTAAAGGAATTAAGTTTAGTTTTATCTGAACGAACGAAAGGTTAAGAAGGAGTTCCAATAATGTGGAATAAACAACTTAAAAAAAAAAAAAATTATCTCAAAATATATAGTAATAAATTGTGGTATAACAGGGATCATTGTGTCTGGTTATACATACTGCGTTGTATTTCATAAAGCGTTCAACCCATGTGGGTCATTCAGTGCACGAGTATTGGAGACTCAGTACTCCGTCTGCTTATCCTGAATCGTTCCCTCACAAGTCAGAATGTTTGAATTTTGCAATTAAATTAAGAGTTTAAACGTTAATAAAAATATGCAATTCACGCAGCCGTATAGAGTTGCTGTGTTGATTTAGTTGTGTGAAAACGAAGGAGTAATATAAACTGATCAAAAGTATGTATGAATCTTGAATGAATGGCGGGTGAAGGGGAGGTTCCTGGAAGACTTAGGAGGGGCGGGTGAAGGGGAGGTTCCTGGAAGACTTAGGAGGGGCGGGTGAAGGGGAGGTTCCTGGAAGACTTAGGAGGGGCGGGTGAAGGGGAGGTTCACGGAAGACTTACGAGGAGTGTGAGAGCGGTTATAAGATTTAGGAACTTGAGCAGCCAGCAGGCATGTATCTTCGTGCTAGATTGAGGTGAGGGAATTATTTTTATTAATTCATATTAAGCGCTGAACCTACGTGGGTCATTCAGCGCAAGACGTGGTGAAGGTTCGTTCCTCCGTTTGCTGAGCGCGAGACAAACTCGCTTCCTATTTGTACTCACCTAGTTGAATGGCTGTTCCCTTGTCTGTGGTCACATGCGTCTGTGGGTCACTTCTCAAAGGATACAAAGAGGTGAGAGAAGTCACACAGTTTGCTGGGATGATTTAAGGTGATGTTATAGAGTAAGATTGACGATATCTAAGACGCTGTGGTTATTTACATGCTCAGAGAAGTTTGAATTTCACAGTACAAGTACTTTTAACATGTAATTTTAACATAATTGAACCGTTGTATTTCATACAGTAACTTTTCTTATACTTTTCTCTATATGAACTATACACACACACACAAACTAATATATATATATATATATATATATATATATATATATATATATATATATATATATATATATATATATATATATATATATATTATATATATATATATATATATATATATATATACATGATATATATATATAGTATGAAAATAGTATGCACGGGAAAGATAAATAAATTATTATATTAGAATTTATTGGAAAAATATTCATAATTTTTAGTACTTTCCACAACTACATAGCAACGATACTGGTGACGATCTTTGAACATCTGATCTACCAGCCATAGCCGTAGCCTCTGCTGAAGCCACCGCCGTACAGGCCACCAAATCCACCGCCAAAGCCTCCACCAAAGCCACCTCCGTAGCCGCCACCGAAGCCACCTCCGTAGCCGCCACCGAAACCACCTCCGTAACCTCCACCATAGTGCCCGTAGACAGGGTACCGGACTGGAATCACGTGGACTGGAGCGTAGCCGAAGCCGCGACCTATACCAAAGCCGCCCTTCTTAAACTTCTTGCCAGGCACAGGGCTGGCGAAGACCGCTGACACGGCCAGTACCAGCACCAGCAGCGATGCCTGCAGCAGGAGGAACCGCACCAAGGTCATACACTGCTAGATCATGACAAAATTCTTTTATATTCTCTCGCTCTCTTTCGACTAAGCTCACAACAGCCTGTGTGTGTCACTCTAAGCGGATGAAGCACTAAGCCTCTTCTTATGCTAAAAGGTTCACACGGTTAAGCTCATCACACAAATTATTTAATAATAATAATAATAATAATAATAATAATAATAATAATAATAATAATAATAATAATAATAATAATAATAATAATAATCAGCAACAATAATCCCTGAATATTCATATAGATCTTACTTACAAACTTCATTTTGAAGGGTGAAGCAGTGTGAGTGAGGAAGGCTCTGTTCGTCGCCCCATATATACTAGGAACCTGGCCCGGGATATCAGCTCAAGAACTTTACTGTAAAATAGAAGGTGGGAATTTAAGGGCGTCGTCCTTGTGAGGAACCTGTCCTCGCGATGGTCAAGTGTCTTCCGCCTGGTGGACCCAAAAAACTAGCTTAGCCAGCTTCTATGATCACCATAGAATATTGGACTTCCTGTACTTGCATGTGACCACGTGTCTGCGTACATTTCAAACAGATACGAACAGATGTGCTTATACTGGTAGAATTATCGACAATACTGCTACTACTGCTACTACTGCTACTGCTGCTACTACTACTGCTACTAAGTGTAGTAGCAGTGATCAAAGATCAAATTATTATTATTATTATAATCAAAAAGACGCGCTAAGCCACAAGGACTATACATACAGTCTAAGATCAAAGATCACAACAATGTCTCTGCCACATCTGCTAGGATAATGGTACCCTTCAAAACTGGGGATACCAAGTAAATGATGATTCTTTTCAAATCGCTTGTATTAATATTACTATTATTATTGCTACTACTACAACTACTGTGGAATTTTTTTTACATAATTTTCCTAAAGGTCGAACATATAAATGAATAATATAATAATTGCCTATTAAAATGTGAAGCTGTTTGGACCCTTCGAGAAATTTTAAGTGAAGGGAGGTGTGGAAGAGCCGGAGAGTGACGCAGACAGGAGATGCCATATTGAATTTAATGTGTGAACACTGGACTGAGTTGTGCAATGTGATTGGGCGTTCTCGAATGTCATTTAAGTTTTTTTCGGCCAGAATTTGTAATTAGGAACCCGTGTTAATGTCCCCTCTGAAGAATTCACACAGGAAATTTGCGGGACCTCAATAATTACGTGTGGATGGCAGAAGAAAAGGGATGTGAACATCACTCACAGGGTAGTGCACCATTAGTCCTTGCATTTAGATCTCTAGCTGGTCAATATAGGGTCTAGGTGTTAGGCAGGTGTTGTGGTGTGATCCATCTACAGTAATTAAATAAGTGTTAATACCAATTATACTTTGTGTACCCAGCAAGCCTAATTATATACAGTCCACAACTTTAATTTACCAGAGTAGCTGGTTTAAATATTATAATTAGTAATTTAATGTCAGGTCTAGCTTATTGTGAGAGGGAGTAGGCAACGAGAGAGTTACAGTTCAGCGACCTGCTGTGACTTAAGTCCCACTTACCTCACCCAAATTACTTGCAGGTAATAGTTCAGGTAATGCCCTGTATGCCTCCTGCAGGTGATTTGTTCACATAATAGTAATAATAATAATAATAATAATAATAATAATAATAATAATAATAATAATAATAATAATAATAATAATAATAATAATAATAATTCACAATAACTGCTACTACAACATATACTACTGCTACTACTAATACTGTTACCAGTAGCATGGGCCAGTAGGCCAATCGTAGTGCTTATGTACTTTCACCTCACTCTGTTACCAATATATATATATCCTCTGTGTCGTTGTATTATTTGTATTTGCTTGACAAAACTCCTTAAAGGCAAAACTTTATCGCAATAAAATTCTTTATTAGTTGCACATGCGACCTTTCACCAAAAGTATATGAACAGATACTCACCTCTGTTATAAACTCGTGAGGTTCAGATCCTCTCCTCCTTGCTGAATGCTATCACCATCCAAAGCCTTCGTTTGTTCCTGGACACGTGGACTCTACCTTGGTGCTCCTTACTCGTGTGTAAAGCTCAATAGATTTTTAAAGTGATGTTTAATGGATTCTACTTAAACGATAGTATATAGTAGATATAGGGTAATATCTAGTGAGAACAGGATAATATCTTGCGGTACAGGGGAATATTTAGTGAAAACAAGACAATATCTAGTAGCTACCGGGTAATATCCTGTAGACAGTAATATTTATTGGGTAGAGAATACTATCAAGCACAGGTTAATACCCAAGGTGTACAAAATAACGCATTCATTTACACCGTAATTAATACAAAGTTGTACATACACCTAAATTATTGCTTTTATATCTCAGTTTACAATGCATAATATTTTCTTAATTTATTTATATTTACCAAAACACCCAATTATTTATTAATAATTATTATCAATTTATTATTGATACATTTATTAAATTTCATTTGGGATTAAAAAATTCCCACGAGGACCCCTAAAGAAAAGGGAGAAAAAAATCCCTACGTAAGTTCCCTGCCATATCTCTTGCCCAAGGGGCGAGTAGGAGGACCAGGGAATATTCTTGCCCATGTTTCCCGACCCAAAATATTGCGCTGCCAGGACTGGAGCGACCAGTTTTACACTCTCGCTGGAGGTCGTATTTAGTATTCACTTTCTCTGCCCTTTTTTTTTATTCCATTTCTTATTTCATTGATTTTTTCCTAAGTTCACGTCGTTCAGTATCCGAAAATTTATTATTTCTGTTTTTAATAAAATATGTTTTAAATATTAGTGTATATATCATAAGAAGATTTATTGTACTGGAAAGTCTAACCTCGCCTGGGGATTTAACCTGAATTTTTATGGTTGTGAGATGTTGATTGTAATAGTGAGTGGAGAGACTAGCATTATTGACTACGGTAGTACAGGAGACTCCTGCGATACTGACCAACGAGGTATGATACATTTCACACTGTCCAACGAGGTACAGTACGAACTGTATTATTGTATGGTTCATACTGACCAATGAGGTACAGTACAGCTTATACTGACCAATTAGGTATAGTACAGCTCATACTGGCCAGTGAGGTACAGTACAGCTCATACTGACCAGTGAGGTACAGTACAGCTCATACTGACCAGTGATGTACAGTACAGCTCATACTGACCAGTGAGGTACAGTACAGCTCATACTGACCAGTGAGGTACAGTACAGCTCATACTGACCAGTGAGGTACAGTACAGCTCATACTGACCAGTGAGGTACAGTACAGCTCATACTGACCAGTGAGGTACAGTACAGCTCATACTGACCAGTGAGGTACAGTACAGCTCATACTGACCAGTGAGGTACAGTACAGCTCATACTGACCAGTGAGGTACAGTACAGCTCATACTGACCAGTGAGGTACAGTACAGCTCATACTGACCAGTGAGGTACAGTACAGCTTATACTGACCAGTTAGGTATAGTACAGCTCATACTGGCCAGTGAGGTACAGTACAGCTCATACTGACCAGTGAGGTACAGTACAGCTCATACTGGCCAGTGAGGTACAGTACAGCTCATACTGACCAGTGAGGTACAGTACAGCTCATACTGACCAGTGAGGTACAGTACAGCTTATACTGACCAGTTAGGTATAGTACAGCTCATACTGGCCAGTGAGGTACAGTACAGCTCATACTGACCAGTGAGGTACAGTACAGCTCATACTGACCAGTGAGGTACAGTACGGTTCATACTGACCAGTGAGGTACAGTACAGCTCATACTGGCCAGTGAGGTACAGTACAGCTCATACTGGCCAGTGAGGTACAGTACAGCTCATACTGACCAGTGAGGTACAGTACAGCTCATACTGACCAGTGAGGTACAGTACAGCTCATACTGACCAGTGAGGTACAGTACGGTTCATACTGACCAGTGAGGTACAGTACAGCTAATACTGACCAGTGAGGTACAGTTCAGCTCATACTGACCAGTGAGGTACAGTACAGCTCATACTGACCAGTGAGGTACAGTACGGTTCATACTGACCAGTGAGGTACAGTACAGCTCATACTGACCAGTGAGGTACAGTACAGCTCATACTGACCAGTGAGGTACAGTACAGCTTATACTGACCAATTAGGTATAGTACAGCTCATACTGACCAGTGAGGTACAGTACTGCTTATACTGACCAGTGAGGTACAGTACAGCTTATACTGACCAATTAGGTATAGTACAGCTCATACTGACCAGTGAGGTACAGTACAGCTCATACTGACCAGTGAGGTACAGTACAGCTCATACTGACCAGTGAGGTACAGTACGGTTCATACTGACCAGTGAGGTACAGTACAGCTCATACTGACCAGTGAGGTACAGTAGAAATCATACTGACCAGTGAGGTACAGTACAGCTCATACTGACCAGTGAGGTACAGTACGGTTCATACTGACCAGTGAGGTACCGTACAGCTCATACTGACCAGTGAGGTACAGTACAGCTCATACTGACCAGTGAGGTACAGTACAGCTCATACTGACCAATGAGGTACAGTACAGCTTATTCTGACAAGTGAGGTACAGTACAGCTTATACTGACCAATTAGGTATAGTACAGCTCATACTGACCAGTGAGGTACAGTACAGCTCATACTGACCAGTGAGGTACAGTACAGCTCATACTGACCAGTGAGGTACAGTACGGTTCATACTGACCAGTGAGGTACAGTACAGCTCATACTGATCAGTGAGGTACAGCAGAAATCATACTGACCAGTGAGGTACAGTACAGCTCATACTGACCAGTGAGGTACAGTACGGTTCATACTGACCAGTGAGGTACAGTACAGCTCATACTGACCAGTGAGGTACAGTACAGCTCATACTGACCAGTGAGGTACAGTACAGCTCATACTGACCAATGAGGTACAGTACAGCTCATACTGACCAGTGAGGTACAGTGCGGTTCATACTGACCAGTGAGGTACAGTACAGCTCATACTGACCAGTGAGGTACAGTACGGTTCATACTGACCAGTGAGGTACAGTACGGTTCATACTGACCAGTGAGGTACAATACGGTTCATACTGACCAGTGAGGTACAATACGGTTTATATTGACCAGTGAGGTACAGTACGGTTCATACTGACCAGTCAGGTACAGTACGGTTCATACTGACCAGTGAGGTACAGTACAACTCATACTGACCAGTGAGGTACAGTACGGCTCATACTGACTAATAAGGTACAGTACGGCTCATACTGACTAATAAGGTACAGTACGAGTCATACTGACTAATAAGGTACAGTACCGCTCATACTGACCAGTGAGGTACAATACGGTTCATACTGACCAGTGAGGTACAGTACAGCTCATACTGACCAGTGAGGTACAGTACAG